GTTGGGTGATAACGGTTAAACATGCCAAAGCGTTCTATCAACTCTAAGAATCATCCACTCTTCCAACTTCACACTCACAGAGCTACTTCAAGAAGATCTAGTTTCTCTATTGTTGGTGACGAAAGTGATTCACCTTGTGTTCCAGATCACTCTGTCATTTCCTATTTCAATACTCCAGCTGTTAGATCAGCCATTGGTGCTACTCATATTGGTAATCCAAATGGATGGCAAGTTTGTTCAACCTTCATTAATTACACCACCATCTATACTACCATGTTGCCATTCTATACCAAGTTGCTTCCTCAAATTAGAATTCTTGTTTATTCTGGTGATGTTGATACTGTTTTGAATACTTTGGGTACTCAAGCTGGTATTAACAAGTTGGGATTGACTGTCTCTGTTCCATACTCTCAATGGTTGCACAATGATGTTAACGGTAATCCAGTCGTTGATGGTTTCTATAAGAAGTATTCTAATGGTAGAGGTTTGACCTTTGTTACTGTTCGTGGTGGTAAGTTTTTTTAAATGTAGTATTCAACATAATCATTACAATAACATTTCAATAATAGCTGGTCACATGGTTCCTCAAACAAGAGCTGCTTCTGCCTTGAGAATGCTTACAAACTTTTTGAATGACAAGTGGTAAATTCCAAATATTACAATTATTTCAGTAAATAAAATTAGAAAAAAATATAATAATTGAAACAATGAAAAAATATCGAATAGAAAGTGAAACACTCATCCTACTGAGAAAGTTATTTATCGAGCAAGCTCTCCAACAAGAGAATGAACTGGGAGGTGTTTTCGATTTTACATCATCAATTGATAGAAAAATAGTTTCGGAAGAGAAAAACAATGAACAGAATTCTATTATTACAACAAGTAGTAGTGATGAAAGTGATAAAGAAGGGGTGGAGAATGAAAATCATCATAAACGTAAATTAACAAGAAGAATTCGGAAAGAAGAAAAAACTTGTAAAAAAAAGAAAATTAATGATCATGATGAAACTCCATCGGAAATAGATGAAGAAGTAATAATTCTAACGATACAAAAGCAATTAGATGAAGAACAAGCATCTTCATCAATTAGGAAGGGAAGGAGACAATTGGATTATACACTATGTGAGGTTCATGATGATGTTCCGTATACTTTTCATTGTCATCCGATTGAAATTGATAGAAAGACTAAACTTCCTATTAATATGGCCAATTTAATATCAAGGTAATTAATTCAAATTAATTTAAATAATTATTTAATTATTTAATAATATTAATTTTGATATTATAGTGAGGATATGATCGGAGTTGTACAAGATCACATCGATAATGTGGGATATCTATCAAATTGTCAAGGAAAATTACTATTTGATATTCTATTGTGTCCAGTTGGAATATTCGTCTATAGTGCCACAAATGCCATCACTGAAAAGTGGGTTGAAATGGAAGAGGCAATGCCTTACAATCAAAAGAATAGGAAATTAATGAAATTATTGGATCCATTATCAGATTGTTCGAATAATGAAAATTTTGAAAAACAATTGAAACACTTAATACACACTACACTCAATGAGGATAATCCATTCTGGGCAACTGAGGAAAATGCATTAATGAATGAAGGGTTTAATGCATATATTG